TATAAATAATGTTATCCTAAAAGTAATGCTAAATTTTTCTGGTTGCAGTCAGGATTTTTTTCCTTTTTTGTTTAAGACATGTCTGGATATGTATTTCTTTGTGTTTATCCTATTTGGGGATTTGCTGAATTTCTTAAATGTATAAGTTTATCTCTTTCAGTAAGTTTGGGGATTTAAAAATTTTTTTAGTTTACGCTGAACCCTTTTTTTCTTCCTGGCATTTGAGTATGACAAATAATTCATTTTTCCCTAATTTTTTCTCTCGTTCACATTGGATAATTTCTATTCACGTATAGTAAATTCACTGAGTTTTTTCTTTAGTCATCTCTATTATATTATTGAGCTTTTTTTTTGTTGTTGTTGTTACTGGGGATCGAACTCAGGACTTTGCACTTGTGAGGTAGCACTACTCAGCTAAGCTAAATCCCCAGCCCAGTTGAGCTCATTTTTAATGAGTTTTTATTTTGGTTATTGATATTTTTCCACTTCCGAAATTTTCTTGGTTCTTCTTTATGTCTTCCATTTCTTTTCTGAGCCTTCCTATCTTTTCATTTCTTTGAAGGGTTTTTTTTGCTCTTATTTGTTGACGCATTCTGTATGATTTTAATATCATTGTCAGATATTTTTCAGCAAGGTTTTCTTGGTGTTAGCATTTTTCTTATGCAAGTGGAGATTTTCCTGGTTTTTTGTATACCTAGCAATTTTGGATTATGTCCTGGGTATTTAACTCCATTTTATGAGACTTTGGATGTCATTTAAATCCAACATAGAGAATGAGAACCACGCCTGCTCCTGACCAGCAGCCATCGCTCAAGCTCCGGGAAGGTAGGCCTGGCCCGATCCACCGCAGGAAGGAGAACCACGCCTGCTCCTGACCCAGCAGCCATCTCTCAAGCGCCGGGAGGTAGGCCGGCCCCGATCCACCTCGGGAAGGAGAACCACGCCTGCTCCTGACCCAGCAGCCATCTCTCAAGCGCTGGGAGGTAGGCCGGCCCCGATCCGCCGCGGGAAGGAGAACTACGCCTGCTCCTGACCCAGCAGCCATTGCTCAAGCGCTGGGAAGGTAGCCGCGCTGGCGCTCCTGAACCCCCATAAGCTAAGCCCCTCCCCCCGCACTCTCAGGCCTCCTGACTGTGCAAGTCTTTGGACCCACTCTGCAAAGACAGAGGTGGTCATCAAGGGTATTTTTCTGAGATCCCAACTTTGAACATCTTTAAAGAAAGGGCGGGGGAAACCTGTAATAGAACGTTGCGGAGTTCAACCATTCAGAAGGATGGGGAACTCAATCTGGGCCTTGCAGCCTGAGGTCAGTCAGCGTCATGGGGTTCAGCCATCAGCTAACTGAGATCAGGGGTCTAGCATCCTCACTCTGTCTGAGCCATTAAATGGTTAATATACTATATTGGAAAGTATGTTCACTGCAGACATGTTCTGGACTGCTTCTTGATTTCAATTTAATTCAAATGATTTAAGGGTGATAGACTAGTGACTACCACAGGTGGTCAGTGTCCAAGTTGTGCTTGATCTTAATGTGTCGCTGATTGTATCAGTTGGGGTAAAGCATTGCTGTTGATTTGATGAGCTGTTTTCTCTGATGTTATGAAGATGAGAATGTCTGTGGGTCGTTAGAGACACAGAAGCTAGGGTGCAACTATATCAGGAAGATTTGGGTAATAATCCAGAGATTATACCAGGGACAGTCCAACAACAAAAATAAAAATGAGGAAACACTTAAGCAAGACACAAGGACAGACTTCCAGTTCACCAATGGCAAACAATAGGGCAAATGAGGATGAAAAGGCCTATAGTGAACCACCAGGACACCCTGAACTCAAAGCACA